GCAATCCATCTGCATCCGAACGGGGACTAAAAACATTTGATATATGAACGTTTTTACTATATATAAATAAATCCGTTTCAAATAACTAAGTAACAACATAATACTCATTCTTTACATCACGTGTTTCCAAGTGTTCCATTGCTTCTGCTATTTGTAATGCATATACGAGTACGTTATCTTCCTTTTCGTCGTTAATGTTCTTTGCGCTTTTCAATAATGTATACTTAAGGCTGTTATTTCCGATGTAGTCCTGTACGAAATACGGTGGTTCTAATAAAAAAAGTTTAAAATAGAATCCCGTGAGATGAGGATATTTAAAGCACAGAGAGTATGATACGAATAAAAAATGAAAATTTAGGATTAGTTTTAAACAGGGAGCCTTCAGTTACTGGATTCCTGTTTTCAGACCTACAGTGAGAAAGCAATTACACAGTATGTAATCGAATGATTATATCTTTGTTAACTACTAATATACAAAAGGTTTATATTTGTTTCGCTTCTCAGCTAGAAAATAAAAAGGTGCGTGAACACCGCAAGTTTCAAGTGCCTGAACGTTGTCAGAAACAAGTGTTCGATGATACATTGCACGTGTCCCGCATAACGGACATTACCACGTCTATATAGCTACAGGAATTTTGATTTCTTGTAATTGTTTTAATAAATTGAGCACGTCAGGTATTTTGTATATTGTACTGATATTTTTGCATACAGATTATTTGATTTGTATCAAGACGGTATCTTGAGATTATCTTACAATTTAAGTACTAGCATTTCTAGTAATTATAATATTATTATCACTGATTGTAATTCAATCTAATATATTTAGTAATTGCTGACTGAGGTTTACATGTTTATCCCCGTCACGCTTAAGATAACTGAAGTGAAGTTTGTTGTTGCGCCAATCCGTAATCTGGCGTTGAGATAATATTATTTATAAAGTATTCTGAATGCTTTATTTGTTACAAGTGATTAAGGCGTGCACACCAGCAGTTTCTTCTACCTTTTTAAAATACATGAAATAAGTGAGGCGGAGATTACATTAATCTATGCATAAATACCAAAAGTAAAACAGTGGAAAAAAGAACCTAGCTAGTTTATTAACTAACCTGTTACAGTAGAATATCCTATTAGTGTTAAAATATTTGGATGTGGAGTTATGGTCTTCATTATGCATATTTGGTTTACAAAGATATCTTTCATCCTCTGACTCGCATGTCCTGAAGAGAAAAGAGAAACATAACAAGACGTTAATTATTACAATGACATCAATTAGAACGTTTCAGCACATTTGCATGCGAAAGACATTCCATTCATATTACTCTCACTTTTTAATCTCTCTACTTCGACACGTGTGACGCCATCTCTACCACCAACAAACCAAGCATCAGCCACAAAACGCTCACGTTCTTCATCGTCATGTAATGCTTCTTTGAAATGTAACCTGTCCGGTGGAATTTCCCATATTTGTTCACCAAGTTTCATATATATTTCATTTCTTGGCTTTTCTTTATGAAGATCTTCATATACACCTGTATCATTCTGGATAGTAATGAAATTTGGTAACATGACGGTAAGCGTGCATGGGTTTGCGTTTTACAAAATAGTACGTAATATCACGTGACACATAGGTCAACAGGCCTATACCATGTAACATCATATAATGTATAACTATTGCAATTCAAAATATATTTCATTACCTTGACGGAAATTTCTTCCATAGGCATAATAGTCGCATATTCTGCTGATGAGGTATTAGTGTGGATAGAATTTTTTAAAGCCAATGAACGGCAATCAGCTTGATTACTCGGCGTTTCACCTTGATCTTGTTTCTTCAATCCAAAACACTGATGTGAACGAATAATAATTATAATAAAAGCTCAAATAAGCATTACATGTCTCCAAGTTAGGACAATAATGCATATAGCATGTACACATGTACATGTACATTTAATCAGCATAGATTAGTATGGCCATCGCTGTTTGGAGTGACTTATGATCCAATAAATGTATTCTGTACACACATTTTATGTCAACACATGTACATTTGTAGAAATAAAAAACTACTCAAATGACATCGTAATTTGCATAGATTAGATCAAGTTGAATGACACTGTCTGCTTGTACTCAATCGAATCAAGAAGATCACACCATATGACTTATTGTTTGAATTGGGCCATATATATTAAAAAAACAAATTTCGCATCAGATGCTATTTCAAGCCTGCGATATTTATTTTAAAACATCTTACATCATTTTTAATTAATCTTATGTGGCAGGCAAACTATGTGTCCACGTGCATTGAGCTTGCCATCAGACTTGCTGGCGATACATAAATGCTACAATCAAATCTTCAAGTCAAAGAGGTTAGCGGTAGAGTTGAGGTAAATCAAATATGGCGGCGAC